GTGTGTAAACTGTTTTAGATTTACACAAGCGTAAACAATCGCCAACGTACTGAAATATGAACCTATGTAATTGAAATCTATAATAAGTTTGTTTCATTGTTTGTTCACAAACTCTAATAAGGTTTCGAGAATATTAAGCATTTTCAAAAGAAAACAGCCCGAGCAAAAGCGCTCCATTTTAAATAGAATGGAGGAAAAAAAAAATCATAATGAAACCCAAACTCGTGACTTAAATCAACACTTCTTCATTTTGGATATAACTCATTGCACACTGTTTGGTATACAGTGTTGCAGCATTGTGTATAACTACAGACAAGAAAGTGTGTAAAGCTACAGACTACAAAGTTACTTTTTGAGTTATTTTTTCATGTAAAAATCATACTATGTGCCGCAATATTCACTACATTACAAACCGCATATTAAAAATAATATTAATTTTCTTTATATTTTAATAGTATATATTATTCGAGTTTCTTAGGGTACACATACACGGTTCGATATGCTTTGAGGCCACCCGACATATCTGGTTGAATCCAACCAGACTGCATCATCTATTCTAGAGGCTGGTTGAGGTCTGTGCGTCTGACTGATGATCGGCCCGGACATGCACCTTCCTCCATATCTCAAATTCTGCAATCAGAATGGCCTGTGAGTAGGTTCTTGGGCCAGAAATAAGGGCCTAATGTAGCTCTCACAAATACAGACACTGCATATCACTTTGGGGTACGAACAATGGCCATATGTATGCACCTAAAATGGGATACTTCGCACCACCCTTATCTGCAAGCGCTTGAAATTTCTCAAATGGGAAAAAGGGAAAAAGTGTACGAAATTGTAGGTAAGGGCGGCCTGAAAATGGAATAGTGGTTGTAAATATCTGCCCACACCATTCAGATCACTATTCCAAGATACATAGGACGTAGGTGAGGAACTGACAGAGCATCTACAAGCCATTAGTGCGAGCGCGCGTGTGTGTGTGGTGTGACCTATTTAGTTTTATATATATATATATATATATTATATATATATATATATATATATATATATATATATATATATATATATATATATAATAAAAAGTCATGAAATGCTGATAAGAACAGCCACAAACAGTAATACTCTCTTACTAACAGTGGTAAGAATTTAAAAAAATAGAAAAAATGCAAATAATTGTATTACTACTGATAAAAATGAAGGAAGGGATAAGCAAGCAGGATAATGAAGTGATAATAACAGCAACAATAATGAGAACAATAATAGTAATTATAATAAAAATAATAGTAAATAATAATTATAGGCCAGTAAGTTTAACGTCAACAGTGGGTAAGATTCTAGAATCCATCATTGCAAATAAAATAAGGGCACATCTAGAATTACACAGACTGATAAAACTTTCACAACACGGGTTTCTGAAGGGTTTTTCGTGCCTTACAAACTTACTGTCTTTTTACTCAGAAGTTACGAGGCAGTAGATTGTGGCAAAGAATATGATACAATATATCTAGATTTAAGCAAAGCTTTTGATAGAGTTCCTCACAAAAGATTAGTTAAAAAGCTGGAAGCTCGTGGTATAGGAGGAGCTGTTCTCAGATGGATCAAAGAATGGTTAAAAGACAGAAAACAGAGGGTTTGCATAAATGGAGAGAAATCGGAGTGGGGCTCGGTTACTAGAGGGGTACCACAATGCTCGGTACTTGGTCCTCTATTATTCATCGTATATCTAAATGATCTGGATTCGGATATCAGTAGTAACCTAAGTAAATTCGCAGATAACACTAAAATAGGTAGAATTATAAATGGAAAAGAAGACATTCATGCTTTACAGGAAGATCTAAATAAATTATCTGAATGGTCGGACGAATGGCAAATGGAATTTAATGTTGAAAAATGTAAAGTAGTTAAAATGGGTACTATAAAAGACTATACGAGTTATAAGCTAAATAATCATGAAATCATGAGTTCTCAGTGTGAAAGGGATTTGGGAGTTCTTGTGAGTAGTAATCTTAAGCCAAGAGAGCAATGCACAGCAGTCAGAAATAAAGTAAACAGAATTTTAGGATTTATCTCAAGAAGTGTTGGCAATAGGACGAAAAAAAGTTATTTTGCAGCTCTGTCTTGCATTAGTTAGGCCCCATTTAGATTATGCTCTGCAATTCAGGTCACCCTACTATAGTATGGAAATTGAATCCTTGGAGAGAGTGCAGCGAAAAATGACCAAGATGATACAAAATATCAGAAATCTACCATATGAGGACAGATTACAAAAAAACTTAATCTACATTCTCTAGAGAGGCGAAGAGTTAGGGGGGATATGATTGAAGTGTATAAATGGTTTAAAGGGCTTAACAAGGGTGATATTAATAAAATTTTAAAAATTCATGATCAAACCAGAACTCGTAATAATGGATTTAAGCTGGATAAATTTGGGTTCAGAAGGGAAACTGGTAAAAATTGGTTTGGTAATAGAGTAGCTGATGCATGGAACAGGCTTGATAGTAGGATAGTAAATGCCAATACCTTAGACACCTTCAAATGTAGATTAGCTAGACATATGACAGAGGTAGGGTGGGTATGAATAGGTTAGTGCTTATTAGAAAAATCATAAAAAGAAAAATAGAATAAATAAGTAGAGTAGAATAGAATAGGTTAGACATTCTGAAAATATCATTCAAATATGGAGCTGCCTCGTGTGTGCCAGTAGGCATGTTGCAGTGTCCCATATTCTTATGTTCTTATTCTTAAAAAAAAAAAAAAAAATAATAATAATAATAATAATAATAATAATAATAATAATAATAATAATAATAATAATAATAATAATAATAATAATTTAACTATTAAACATTTTAATTACATACTCCAAACATACGCTCTGAGAATCTCAAATTATCTTAATTAACACATTAATAACTATAAATTTCACAATGAACAATAATTATCTGCAGATAAGCTTCAAAAAATCGTTAAACTCTTTATCTCTGCGAAATATCACAATTCTCATATGAAACTATACCGAAATCTCTACATAAAATAAATTAATAAAAAAAAGCGCAAATGTGCATGCCATAGTAACAAAATACAAATATATTAATTTCATTAGCGAACAAAAAAAGAATATCTTCAACAGACCACTTCGAAAGAAATTAAATACTTCAGCTAGAAAAAAAAAATCATTCATAGATTAGCGTCCTTTATCAGGTACATTTCTCTTGGATATCGAAAACGAACAACCGTCATACAAACGGGAAAAGGGACCTATCAAAACATGGTGAGATCGCTCCCCCACTTGAAGCTGCACCTTGGCAATATTGGTGGATGGATTCGGTTTTACTTCACGAACTCCCTTTTCTACTAAGGGCTAGGACGGTTGCCTTCTTACGAAGGACTTGTTTTGGCAGATGTAATCGTTACCCTGAGTGTATGCCCTTACTAACCTGAGTCCGTGACGGGTCGCGAACCCTCGACCTGCCGACTCAGAGTCGCGGACGCTACCACTTCGCTACGGAGACTTACACCTCAGCAATATTGGTGACAACACAAAGTTAGGTTTTCAGATCCTAAGACTCAGCTGCTTCAGAACGTCATGAGAAGAGCACAAATATGAACTACTCCTCTGTAGGCAAACAAATTTGGTCTGAAATTATTCAATTATATGGAAACAATGAGTCCTTCTGGGAGATTAAAAGCAAAATGAAGAATGTGAGACATTAATATTTCTCTCTCTCTCTCTCTCTCTCTCTCTCTCTCTCTCTCTCTCTCTCTCTCTCTCTCTCTCTCTCTCTCTCTCTCTCTCTCTATATATATATATATATATATATATCTCTCTCTCTCTATATATATATATATATATATATATATATATATATATATATATATATATATATATATTATAAATAAATAATATATATTCCCTCAGAGGGAGGGGGGCTAGAACATTTCCTCCCTGTTCCTCGGAGTGTCGAAGATTCGAATCTTCCCAGAGAGTCAAGAGTATTTTGCCTTGACTCATCTACTACCCTTATAAGGGGATATATGGCTCATGTATATATATATATATATATGTATATATATATATATATATATATATATATATATATATATATATATATATATATATATATATATATATATATATATATATATATATATGAATCATTTTTACCCCGATCGGGACTTGAACCTGGGACTTTTAATTACTAAGCCAAGGCGCTACCAACTACACCACAGAAGGTCTTAAAAGGGAAACAGACCTTACAGATTATATCTGCTATACTAGGAATGAACGCATTCTATCTGAATGCCACCATGTTCATATTACAGTTTTCCCCAACCTCGCTCGTGGTTTCATGAGGTTGAGGGAAACTGTAATATGAACACAGTGGCATTCAGATAAAATGCGTTCATTCCTAGTATAGCAGATATAACCAGAAAGGTCTGTTTCCCTTTCAAGACCTTCTGTGGTGTAGTTGGTAGCGCCATGGCTTAGTAATTATAAGTCCCAGGTTCAAGTCCCGGTCGGGGTAAAAATGATTCATGTTTTCACATATGGTAGTGTGCTTATTTGGTTATTGTTGGTCCCAAATGAGATTTGGAGTTGAATTAAATGCGAAAACGAAACCACGAGTGAGGTTGGGGGAAACTGTAATTTGAACATAGTGGCATTCAGACAGAATGCATTAATTCCAAATATAGCAGATATAAGCCGTAAAGTCTGCTTCCCTTTTAAGACCTGTGGTGCAGTTGGTAGCGACTTGGCTTAGTAATTAAAGTCCCAGGTTCAAGTCCCGGTCGGGGTTAAAATGATTCATGTTTTCACATATGGTAATGGGCTTATTTGGTTATTGTTGGTCCCGAATGAGATTGGGAGTTGAATTAAATGCAAAAACGAAACCACGTGTGAGGTTGGGGGAAACTGTAATATGAACATAGTGGCATTCAGATAGAATGCGTTCATTCCTAGTATAGCAGATATAAGCTGTAAGGTCTGTTTCCCTTTTAAGACCTTCTGTGGTGTAGTTGGTAGCGCCTTGGATTGGTAATCATAAGTCCTAGGTTAAAGTCCTGGTCGGGGTAAAAATGATTCATGTATTTACACATGGTAATGTGCTTATTTGGCTTTATATATATATATATATATATATATATATATATATATATATATATATATATATATATATATATATATATATATTACAAATATGTCTTATATATAATATATACATATTATATATGTGCTCTCTATCTCTCGCTCACTCTCTCCTCTCCTCTCTCTCTCTCTCCTCCCTCTCTCTCTCTCTCTCTCTCTCTCTCTCTCTCTCTCTCTCTATCTATATATATATATATATATATATATATATATATATATATATATATATATATATATATATATATTATAATCTTTTTTAAGAGTGTGACACCAGGACAGGCAGACACTTCCCTCATCAATGAAGACCCAGGAACGAGAAAATACCAAGACGAAGGAAAAGAAAAAGGTTAAGGATAAGGCAGAGATGAGGCAATGTCACACAAAGGAAAACGACAGATAGAAAAAACAGTCAAAGTACATAGGACCCAAAGATATGGAGGACTAGGCCCTGAGATGACAATAGATCTGCTTTTTGAAGAATGAAAGGGCAAAAGAATTAGGAAAGACTGAAGGTGGAAGAGCGTTCCAGAGTGTGGAGGTAGATGGAAGAAGCAGTCGCTGCACCAACCAATCCGTGAGCTACAAATCTCCTCACAGTACCTGTGAGATGAGGCCGCTTGGCGAGTGTTACACGGCCTCGGCAGTGGGGGGGATGCAACTCGCCAACTCATCAGAGCAGCGATGGAAGTAGTAGCAATAGAAAAGAGAAAGGGAAGATACCTTACGGCGAAGAGAGAGAGAATCCAGATTAGAAGTAAGAGAAGGATTATTAATGAGTCTGACTGCCTTAGATACAACCCTATCGAGGAGATAAGTACAATAAGAAGCACCCCAGATGTTTGAGCAGTATTCTAAGCAGGGACGGATAAGACCTTTATAAATTTTAAGTAACTGTAAAGAGGAAAAGCAATGACGAAAACGAAACAAAACCCCCAAATTTTTATGATTTCCTACTGCCTTCGGTTCCGCAACCCTTATCAGGTAGCCCTAAAGTTGCAGATATCATAACCTCTGGAATGGAGGCATTCATTCCCTCCTCTATGAAAACTTTTTTCCCCCTAAACCTTGATTTGACCATGCCTACTCCGTGGCTATTCAGCCCAGGAATCAGGCACCCCGGCTGTACCAAGACTCTCCTTCTGATTTAACTCGCTCTGCTTTTATTTCAGCTAGGTATCGATGTACTGATCAGATTCGAAGTCTGAAGCTTACTTTACAAGAAGGAAAGTTCATGAACTTAACTCCTCTCCCACTTATAGATGTTTCTGGTACTTAGCCAAAAACCTCTCCCAAAAACTCCTGTAACTCAAGCTTCCCCCCCCCCCCCCCTCATTCGTTCCAATGGTTCCAAAGCTTGCTCACCCACTGACAAAGCCACTCTATTTGGCTCTCATTTTTCCGAAAACTTTCGTAAACGATTCTAGTGCTCCCGTGCTTTGCCGTCTTTTTCTTCTCCTTCTGTCAACCAGTATGTACCCCTTAATCTTTGGAAGCATGCTCTAGTGCAACCTGTTCCTAAGATGGGTGACCGCTCTTTGCCTTCAAACTACCGACCTATTGCCATAACCTCATCTATCGTTAATGTTTTCGAAACTTTGCACATTTCTCACTTTTGAAACGTCTTGGATCTAACTCACCTCTGATCACCAGTAAGGCTTCAGCAAGGCAAGATCAACTGGTGACCTCCTGTCCTATCTTACTTATGTATGGTCATCTACTCAGGGGAACAATGGAGAATCCTTGATATCTCTAAGGCTTTTGTCAGTCTGGTACAAGGCTCTGTTGGCCGAACTCCCTGCTTATGGCTTTACCCATTCTCTCTGTTCTCTGATTTTCAGTTTTCTTTATGACCGTTTTATATCTGTGGTTGTTCCACGGGGCTCTGTTCTTTCACCTACTCTGTTCCTTCTCTTCATCAACGATCTTCTTCAGTCTCCATCCTCCTCTCTTCTTCACGTCTTTGATGATGATTCTACCCTTCATTTTCCCTCTGCCTTTTCTTCACAAACTTCATCTGCTACTCATATCACTCTTTCTGTTACTCTCATCTCCGATTTGCAGAGGGTATGTAAGTGGGGCACCCAAAATTTAGTTAAATTTAATGCCTCCAAGACAGTTTCTGGCTATCTCTTTACAGTCTTCTCATCCTGGTAGCCCTATTGTCTTCGAAACTAACGAAATTTATACTCTTAATTCTATCAATATAGTAGGAATCACGATAGCCTCTAACTTGTCTTAGAGGAATTACTTAATCCAAATATCTAAATCTGCATTAAAAAAAAATGTGGGGTTCTATTTTGTTTTCGTCTTTACTTTTCCTCTTTACAGATACTTAAAATCTATAAATGTCTCATCAGTCCCTGCTTAGAATACTGCTCGCACATCTGGGGTGCTTCTTCATATACTTATCTCCTTGATAGGGATGAATCTAAGGCAATCAGACTCATAGTGACCTTTTTCTTACTTTTAATCTGGATTATCTTTCTCTTCGCGGTAACGCATCATCCATATCTCTTTTCAATCGTATTTCTTGCATCGCTGCTCTGATGAGTTGGCGAGTTGCATCTCTCCCCCACTGCCGAGGCCACGTAACACTCGCCAAAGCGGCCTCGTCTCACAGGTACTGTGTGGAGATTTGTAGCTCGTGGATTGGTCGGTGCAGCGGCTGCTTCTTCCCATCTACTTCCAGACTCTGGAACTCTCTTCCTCCTTCGGTCTGTCCTAATTCTTATAAACTATCCTCCTTGAAAAAGCGGATCTATCGTCATATCAGGGCCTAATCCTGCCATGTCTCTAGGTCCTCAATACTTTGACTATTCCTTCAGCCTGTCCTTTTCTTATTGTGTATCATTACCTCATCTTTACCTTGTCCTTAACCTTTTACTTTTTCTTCGTCTTAAGAGTTTTCTTCGTGCCAGGGCCTTTATTGATGATGGCAATTTTCTTGCCTGTCCCGATGTTACACTTATAATATATATATATATATATATATATATATATATATATATATATATATATATATATATATATATATATATATATATATACAGAGAGAGAGAGAGAGAGAGAGAGAGAGAGAGAGAGAGAGAGAGAGAGAGAGAGAGAGGCTATATATATATATATATATATATATATATATATATATATATATATATATATATATATATATATATATATATATATATATATATATATATATATATATAAATATATATATATATATATATATATATATATATATATATATATATATATATATATATATATAATCACTCATACCAAATATCGTTAAGGCCATTGCGGAATCTCCCAACAAAAGTAACTCCTTGTTGCAGAGAGTCAGCATGTGACAACCACCCACCTCTTTATCTTATCCCCAACTGATCTGTCTTGAGGTGTGGTCGGATAGTGTGTGAGTGGTAGGATTTCCATCCGATCAGGCCTGTTCGACAAGGTCTCAAGACCAATTGCACCGTGTAGATTACGGTTCATTAGACAATAAAAACAATAATAATGATAACAGCAATAGAAATGATAAGAAGAATAATGATAAATCTACTACTACTATTAATAATAATAATAATAATAATAATAATAATAATAATAATAATAATAATAATAATAATAATAATAATAATAATAATAATAATAATAATAATAAAACAAATGCAACTCAGCAACAAATTCTTTAAACGTCTTCAAATAATCTACCTTCCTTGTCTGGAATCGAACAGCTTAATCCACAGTATCACAGAGCCTCTGTGGTACAATGGACTAAGCTGTGGAGTTTGAAGAAAATAATAATAATAGTATTAATAATAATAATAATAATAATAATAATAATAATAATAATAATAATAATAATAATAATAATAATAATAATAATAAAAATAATAATAATAATAATAATAATAATAATAATAATAATAATAATAATAATAATAATAATAATAATAATAATAAGAGGAAGAAGAAGTCAGGCTCATGAATGGTAGAAACCAGATTGGGAATCACCTTTGCAATATTGGAAATTTTGATAGTGCTTAGGATTTCAATTGCTAAAAGCATAATATCGTAATTCTTTCAAGAATATATTATCATATTCAAAAGGCATAATGATTTTAACGCAGCCTCTGCGAAAGCAGTGCCGGTCCCAAACCCGGATAAATTGGGAGGATTGTGTCTGAAATGCATCCATCCTGCACCATAAAAATCATGCCAGTACAAAAAAAAATATATTAAGAGATAGATAGACATAGAAGGATAAATACATAAGTAGGTAGCTACGTAAATAGAAAGATAGACAGACAACTAGAGAGAGAGAATATTATCCTAGCCAAATAATGGGGATAGGTAAGCATCACATGGGGATTACAGCGTATGTTCATTATTGTTATTATTATTATTATTATTATTATTATTATTATTATTAGCTTTGTATATCGACAGATAATAAGTAGTCGTTCTGTACCTAAGGAACAAGTATGGAAGTACCTTATATAGCTAGAAGAGTGTGTGTGTGTATATATATATATATATATATATATATATATATATATATATATATATATATATATATATATATATATATATATATATATATATATATATATATATATACACACACGGAAGATGGCAAATGACATTGCTGGTACATAAGACAGTTTTACTCTAAATATAATTTAGAAAAAATATCTAAAGTAGCAAATAGGACGAAGTAGTTCTTACGTAACTGCCCTGAGGCAGCGAAGAAATTAGTAGAATGAAAGTCGCCTCTCTCTCTCTCTCTCTCTCTCTCTCTCTCTCTCTCTCTCTCTCTCTCTCTCTCTCTCTCTCTCTCTCTCTCTCTCTCTCTCTCTCCCAGAGTACTCGAAAACAACTACCCTGTCCATTTATTCATTCTTTCTTCTGGAACTTTCTACAGGTT